AAATTCTTGCTGTGTAAGTATTCAACGCGATCCAGCTGCAAGGTTCACCCACACGCGCTCTTGAACCTTTTCTGTTACATGGTGAAAACGAAACCTAGCCACGGTTCGGTAATACTGGCATCGCAACTGCATCAGCAAAACATGTCTGTGCCTTAGTGAACAGCCAGTTCGGCGAAGGACCGTGGTTGCCTACAACTTGGTCCGCAATCATCAGAATTGTGCGCAGCGTGAACTGGCGGCTGCATAAGTTGAAGAGATCTTCAAGGCTCGGACCTAGAAGTTCCATGACCATTATGTTGAAATCTGCCTCTGCATCGCAGTAGTATATCTGGGCGATTCCCGGGGCACCTTGCAAATGCTTAATTAACTTTGACTCGTAGATAAGCTGCGGATGCTTTGCCTTGGCGCTCTCTACCTTCATAGCCACCTCCTCTCCAGTCTGTACATTCACACCTGGCATACGAACAGCAGCACCCGAGCGAGGTCCCCTCCTCAGCTGCATGAATGGATGACGTGAACATACCATCTGTTCCTGCAGCTCCATCTACCTCACGTGGCCCTTAAACCGTCCCTGCACTGATAAACTGAAGGCAACTTCTCTGTCGGACAAATGTTACCAGCATCTTACCTTTGTAGATATCGCCAAAGGACCCTGATCCGATCTTCCGGCCCAGACGCCAGATGCCGCCAACCCTAGCATCCTTAAGGGGGTTTTGATTAGCTTTTGAACTGTCTGCATGGTGCGCCATAGTGGCGAGCTATTCATTGGTGGCTCTTATGCACCATATCAGCACTTTAGCCGACGGCAGTTCCTCTCTGAAAGCCACACCGACGGCTTTCCCTCTCAATGTTTCCGTGATAAAAGGGGGGTTGGGAGCACAACGCCTGTAGACCCTGCAGTGTGCGTTCAACAGCGTGGTAGTCGAGCAACGACGCCGGTTAAGTGCGTCTTGCTACCCTGCCTACAGCTGGGAAACTTAGGCGCCGCCAAACTGTGCGTATCTGTGGGAATATCGATGCATTAAAGCACAGTCAGTTTAGGTCATGTGTCGTGATAAGAAACGCTTTGACTCCCCCAGGAGATGGCGCAAAGGACACCGGCTCCTGTCTCAAGCAAGCACCCAAAATGTACTCGCCCGCCAAAACAGCCTGATTACCTAGTTGCAGAAGCAATGAGGAAAAGACTTGTTTCATTGGAAGCCAAAAGCCCGCACGGAAGTCTGGAGATGCACCAAGCCTGCGAGTTGCTCTGCCGTCACGAGCCAACGATCCCAACTACAAAAATGAAAGGTCTGGAGAAGGCAGCTGGGCGCCAGAGATAATCCTCAAGAGTTCTGCCGCGGCTGTGGGCGGCGCGTGCGAGTCGTGCCAAGCACCACTAATTCCGCACAGCGCTGCCACTGCCGCGGCCCTCCCCGCCCGTGCTTTTTACACGAGGAAAAGGATTTAGCTGTGTGATATCAGACTGACGTGCGTATATTTACGAGCAGAAAGGCTCTAAGGTCACGTAGCTGGTTGGTGTCCTGCAAGAAACAGTAACGGACTGTCATTCTTGGGGTTTCTGCTGAATCGCCAGCACAAGATTATGCAGCGATCGCAACCCCCCGAACTTCCAGAGGCTAGGCGGACGTTCTGCAGGCACAACAAAGAGGCGGCGCGTGCCACACGTATACGAGTCACTTCTTGCAAGCCCCAGGAACCTCCAAGGGGGAAGGCCCAGCACGACGCTTAGGCAGCAGCACGCTGAGGGATGGCGGTGCCCCCGTAGACCCACAGCTACTAGTATGTGACAAGAAAGAGATTAAACGTATGGAGTCACTGAGCGACGCAGACGCTGGCAAGTGGCATGCTTCTGCCGGGTCAACGAATCCACGCCCAAAACGAAGATCCGGCGAAGAGTGGCAGGACTTGGCCAGCGCCCCGGAAATCAAAAGTAGTCGGTAATTGTAGTTTAATAATGGGGATTTATGGGAAAGGTCTCCAACCTGATACTAAAGCAAAGCCACAGGAAACTCAAAGCGGCCGGCTTGCGCGGCGAGAAGCGCCGCCTGCACATCAGCACCGCCTCATGCTGCTGGCTGCTGGCAGCTACTCAGCATGCAGGCCAATGTGGTCTCTTTAATGTAAGCTGGATTGTTACTAGAAACTTGTTGCTTTCCAGTCTTTCTGCTAAACCAGATCCCTGCAAGTGGGTCCGCCCCAGACGACCTTGCAAGCCGGCCTCTACGCCTCCCCCGTTTTTGGGGAAGCTTAATTCCTGCCGCGCTAACAAGCAGTTACCTTCCACGGTTGCAAAAGCTGAAGGTAGTCGCTGGTCTCATTTGCCAGCCCACCCGTGAGCACTTGGAAAAGACATAATCATGGTGTGTGCACGCATTCCCGAAATCTTTTGGTTCCTGCTACGTATCTGGTGCTGCTGGAGTGGTTCTTAACTTTCCCCTCGCTCCAAAGTGAACTGCTTGGAACAGAAGCTCTTTACAATCAGCGTATGCCTTTTTTGTACACGGTGTCCTTCGGGCCATCCCCAAAAAAGCACCCATGTTGAACGTTGAAGGAAACAGGCCTGGAGCGGCAAACTACGACTTCCAGTTGCACTTCAATTGCTCAATTGGCTCATGCGGGCACGAACCGTCTCACAGCGTCATGCGCTTTTAGCCTGAGGTCATCTATGCATACATACAGAATACTGTGCGTTATGTCACTGCAGAAGTCGAACTTTATGCGCGCATTTCTGCAGCATTAACGTAGTGCAATAGTTTGCGGGTGTGCGTTCATCTCCAGTGCACACATCTAACTATTGTTTAGTAAATACATTCGTTTACTCCGTTCTACTGTCGGGATGCCCGTGTGCTGCACGGTTTTTTGTGGCCCTGCCGTATAATTGTTTGGCAAAGCTCCTGCGAGGTCATATCCGTGCAAAGGAGCTAATGCAGAGCTTATTAGCTGTGGGGAAGCAGAACAAGGTGAGCTTTTTCCCCTACTGAAGCCAAGTCTCATCGAGGATTCGTCGAAGTACTATGGCGAAGCTGTAACGAGCGTTCTTCTTTTTTATTATCTCCTTTTGAACTTTACTAGTGGGCAAGGTGGCACTAGCTGTACTTTTCTACACTGTGATGAATGGCTCAAGGAACTGGTGTGCGCGAAATTGCGTCGGGCGCGACATATGCCTTGAAACATCCCAGCAGTTACTGCGTGCTGGGGGAGTGAACGGTTGGCTCGAGGTGAAGCCCAAGAGATGATACGCTGTGCTTTCCCCAACAATAGAGCATTTGCCAAAACTGTACCGCGGGACTGGTGCAAGGGTTTGAGGTGTCTCCACACAGAGCCAATTGCCAGAGCTCCCTTTGGTTTTCTTTTCCAGAGGGGTCCCCTTGGGAAAGTTCCCAGTTTAGGGCAAGAAGGAACTACTAGTAAATAGAGGAAGATGAACTCATAGGGACTTGTGAAACTTGGGTAGTTGATGATCTGTGTATTGTGGGAAGGAGACAGTATTGGCCTGCCTAAAGTCGAAGCGTAGCGTAACGAAGAAGGCAATTATGTGCCAGGGCTCGAGATGCCATCACAAGGCAATATATTGGAGTACAACTTGGTTTGCTTGTGAGGGAGTGGTTGCGGTCTTATGCTACGTGACAAGCTTGAAGTCAACTGATTGAGGGGCAAGAAAGGTTGTGTTCTGCATCAAGTGGTTATGATGGGCGTGCCTCCATATGCGGAGTGGATACCACAGTGCCTCACTTCCGTTTGCGGGGTTTGCCTATGGATTCACAGTGCCGTGTTGCCTACGGTGCACCAGATATTTGGAAATGCGCAGAAGTGAGTTGTTACACTTTCAGGTGTACTAATTTGGCGACAGGGCGTCGCTTCGTGGAGTTCACGGCTGGATGTGATCTCACTTTGTTGGTTCTGTGCAGCCGCTGAACAGTATGCCGAAGTATGTCTCACAACTTCGCTGTATGAAAAGAGCATATGTGTTTCCACATTCTTTATTAGAAGGCACAAGCGTGTTCTGTGCAAGCGCGAGATCGGCAACAAATTGAGTACCACACAGACTGTGCACTACGGAATCGCAAAAACAAGAACACATGAACTCGGCAATAATTCAACACGCTCTTCCTTCCACATAGCTCGTCAGATTCATTTAGCCACTGATAGAATTACACTTCCGCTCCCTGCTGTAATTTAGCCGTCTAGCTAGCTTGTGGTATTCAGAGCAGGGGAGAGATCTCCGCTCGCAGGGAATGAGGTCCCATTTACTGAACGCCTCAAAACGTCTAGGCGCCAAACAATGGCAGCAAATTATTCCAATGATTTCATATAGATAAAACAACAAAGTTCTGACGAAACTTGTTTGCTGCTCGTATCTGTGCTGGTGAGCAGAGCAGCAAGAGCTACCTGCCTTCCATTCGGCACTGCCCTCACCATAGCGATTCAGCACCAAGCACTTTCCGTTTCCATCGCCGTCACGATCATCATAACAAAAATCGGCATTTTTTATACATTTGTGTCCGTTTAACTGCATGTGACTTTGTTTCTGGGAAGGAACGGCTCTCCAAGCAGTTGCTTGCATTTGAAAACCAGCTGCCTCGAAGACCGACACGGACTGTAGTCGTCCCGTCTACCAGCGCATCCCTACAGCAGCACCGTGTCTTAGCGCAGCATCCTTTGCTCCCTTATTTGCTTTTCACATGTCCTTGCATAACGGAATCTTTCATATTCCTTCAATTGGAAGGGAAACAGGCTAGAGTGCTGGGCTTCTGCTGTGGGGCCGCCGTCGCTGCCACCAGTTGGAGGCAGCAGGGCTCCCCTTCCAACAGCAGTTCCGGCTGATCAACTACCAGTGTTTTCCACTATTAGCGTTTAAAGAGGACATAGGAAGCGGTGTCTTTGGCGAGAAACGGCCTAGGCACACCAGCCCGTACGGGGTTCGCATAGCTATATTTGTCTCTTGGTGAAATATCGGGAGATTTGTCGCTTGTGGCCATCCTGATTCAAGAATAAACATGGGAAAACTTGGAGCATTTGTTTCCTGCGGTTGTTTGAGGGGAACACGGGCCGCTGTAGAGCCAGCCAAACGGCAGGCTGTGAGTGTTGAAGCTTGTGGAAGAAAGGTACTTGAAAAGCCACCGACAGAGAATGCCATCAAAACTGAGCAAAAGCTAAACACATGTGAAACTGGGCAGCTGGCAACTCAATCAGTGCCTCGAGAGCCCACAGCCAATCCTCGGCTCAAAACCGAAGACGAACGAGCAATTTTAGCATCTGAGTTGACTGCAACAAGTACGGGAGAAACTCAAGAGAACGGAGTTCCTAAACTGCAAGTAGTCGTCACCCACCATCACAATGCAGCAGGAGAAATGCCTACTGGAGCTCCGCTTTCCTCACCACAGCAAGTCTCCAAAGGCGCCCCCACAGATTTGGAGGGTAAGTTCAAAGGTACCGACACGGGTGGTGGCAGGACGTCTCGAGACACAGCACCGGACCACGAAAGTAGAGCTTCGTCCTCTTTAGTTTCTATGACATGCTTGACGTCCACAAGCGGCGGGGACGAAGATAGTCGGATTGTTGTTTCGTCGCTGCCAGCTCCCCAAAGCTTGGGGAGCGACAAAGAAAACGCTGAGCATGAGTCAGGAGCCAAAACGGAAGAGGAGAAAAGTTCGAACTGCTCTCCTACTGGTAGCGCTGCGGTTGGGGGAGATCAGGCAGCGGCAGTCCCTATTGAAGGCGGAAATGTCAGCTGTGGAAACTCATCACCTGAAGCCAGCGAGAAAAAGGACGCAAAAACTGACGAGGCTGTGGAATTATTGGGGAAGAACTCCATAGAAAACAAAACTTTTGACGACTTAAAACAAACACACGATGCTAGAGAGGAACTAGATGGGAAAGCTCGCGATGAAATGCATTCTGGGGATGGGAATGACCAGCCCCAGTGCGAACAAGAAGTGGCTCCCGCTGAAGGCAAGTACGTAGTGTCCTCAGCTGTAGCGGAGGATGCCACTTCCGACAGTAATGTGAATGATGGAAATTCATGCAGCGGGGACCAAGGGGAGGACACACCCGCTTCTGAAAGCACAGAGAAAGGAAAGCCACGCACGCTCTCTTCACGGAAGTTTAAGAAGAAGAAAACGAGCAAGGCAAGGGGAAAGAGACGCCATGGGAAGACGGGCAGGCGTTAGTAGCAGGAGCTTAAAGACTCATAAGTTGCTTAACATGGCATTTGAGCCGCTAGGTGCTTGGAAAGGTCATCGCGGTGCCTTGTCAATGGCAACGGCTATCGTAGTACGCAGGCTGCACAGCCATTAGTGCCTGTGGAATGGAATATGTTTGTATATTCTAAGGCGGTCTTGCATGCGCGGAATGGAATATCTCCATTATTTTACGATGCACGTGGTGCCGTGCCCGTCCACACAGCAGATAGCCCTTGATTAGGTCTTCATCCAGTTAATGCAGAAAATTGGTCTATTTGCTTACATCCATATGTACTATGTGAAAGAATTAACGGAACGGCAATCATTGGTTGCTTCCACTTCCCAAAGCGACTTGGATAAGCACACGAACTAAGCAGTTCATAGCCGTTCTGGAGAGTTCGGCCGCAGTTACGTCATGCAAGCTCGTGTTGATTTAGGTGGATGCCCTTACGACCGTGCAACTACGTAATTGCATTATCTTTTCGGAATGCGGTAGGAGTATGCGTAGACGCCGCTCCGTAAACATGCCGTCTGCTCCTTTTGTCCAAACCCAGGTGAAAATCTTAAACCAATGACCAACTCACTATTTCTATATACTCGTTTTTTGCCAGTCAAAGAACTCTAGCTCTTCTTAAGTTACCCGTTGTGCCAATGAGTCTACTGGCTGCAAAGCGCTACGTTGCCCCCTGCTGGCCGGACGATTGCCGTTAGCAAACTGTAATGGAGTCAGCCAGGAATGTCGGGTAGGTAAGCGGCCGTAAAGAGCAGCCCCCGCTACTCCGGCGTGCGGCATATTGAAGCACGGAGACGTGATTTGGGATCTTTGCTCAAGGTCCCCTGCGTACAACCGCGAGACGACACCCATTGACTACACGTACCCTCAACCCTGGATTGGTCCAGGAGAAGTTCGCTAGGCCGCAAGCAGTGGAACCGCAAGGACCGATTGGATAAAACATTGCAACTGTTCCCTTTTGTTCCACGGAGCCACCGGACTCCCTAAAGGCACCCTAGGCCACCTATGAAGCAGCCCCTTAGGTGGTGCTTGCGCAAAAGCGTTGTCAGTCCCCATTAACTCTGGGGCGCTGTCTGCCAAGGAAGACCGACTGAGTCGGCCTAAGAAACTAACAACTGGCTCCAACAGGCTAACGGTCAATCGCCGCCACCGTCCTGCGTCCCCAGACTCACGACGACAGCAGTACCACCACTTGCCTGTGCTCGTGCCAGCGTCCCACTTCCACAAGCATGGTAGCGCATGGCTTCCACCACGGGCGGACACCGTGAGAGCTCCGAAAGCCAGTGAAAGCCGGCCGCTTTCCCGCCAGACGAAGCCACATGAATCAAGAATCAGGGGGCAGAGATATCCGTCTCAGCCTTCGCCACCTCCCAAATAGCTATCAAGCAGCTACTCAGCTTAAAGGGCAGGATATTCAAGTGGCTGTGTTGCATGTCTGCCGATACCGGACGCCACTGGGTTCTCAGAAGAGCGTGAGAAGGCGCAACCAATGCCAGCAGTATAATTCCTCGTCATTCCGCCTTCGACGCTTTAGAAGAGATCTCTCGGGAACGAGACTGCGCTGAGGAAACTTCTTCCGAGACCCTTGAGTGCAGATCTCTCATTTGACCACTGAGGATGAAGTGCACGAACATCTTCACCATAAGCACAAACCTGTAAAGGCGTTCCCAAGCAAGTCGCACGCATTTCCCTGTTCACTCAAAATTTTAACCTTAGGACAGTCAATCTTCACATGGTCTGAATGGGCCACTTCATTTTGCGTGCAACACATGCTTACCAATATATGTTCATCAGACTCAGCGTGAGTAGGATGAAAATGAAGTAGCTACTGCCTTCGGTCTCGGAATGGTCTGGCCGGGTCTTGATTGCCTTATATATTGGGAAAAGAGCGGCAGACGGGAAGGTATAGAGCCGAAAGTAAAACCAACAAACGGTTAACAGCACAAAAAGCCCAATGGTTACCTTGTGATACGGCGTGTCTACGAATGCCTTGCACCTAAGCGGACGATCCCACATAACAAAGAGAAACGTCTACATATGTGACCAAACACGGAAAGAAAAAGTTTCGAGCAAAGTCACAGCTAGGCTGACTTGTGACAAAGTGGGAGCCAACAAGCAAAAGAGAGACTTCGCGTACGTTTAGTCTACTCGCAACGTACCCGCAAGTAAAAATGTCGCAAATGTCGTGGCAAAATAAAATGACGACACCAACCCGCAAAAAATTGCTCATGTAGGAGAAGTAAATTAGGCAAAGGGCGGCGGCACATGGCAGGAGCCGGTCAAAGAAATCGGGAAGCCAAGGCGACTTTAGGATGTAGATCAGTGACGCTAGGTGGTGCCCAAAGGCGACGTAAAAGTATAGGTGACAATATACGCTGTTCTGCTGCATTGGGTATCCTGCGTTGCAGCAGTCATGCACATGCTCTGGGTGAATGCACTCTAAACAAAGACGGGAGCAGGTTCCCGCAGTATGTAGAAACTTGCTTGCGTGAATGTTCTGCTGCGTAAGAGGAATCCATTAGGCTCACCCTGCCACAGCTGCTCTTCCGCACCTTCACCGCCAAGCTGTTGTGGCCACCACCGTTCATTGCGGAATGACAGGAGGCAGACAGCTGTCGTCATTAAAAAGTATAGCATCTTCCAAGTCATTTCCCCAAAATGAGAGCACAACAGCTGTCGCACCTGCTCGCTCCAGCGACTGCGGGAAAACACCCACAACCCATGATGAACCCCATATTTCACTCGTGAAAAAACTCGTCAGTATACAAATGCCGGCGTATTTTGAAGCTGCGCAGCATTAAAAGCAGGCAGCTGCCATCCAAAACTAGAAAAAACAGAGGCGGAACCGCATCTCGAATGATGTAGCTGTACGCATTAGAACAATTAGGCTGTGTACGCAGTGTAGTCTAACTCGCGGGGAAGCAGACGGTCTGCAAGAGGCTTGAGAATCCATGTGCAGAGGCCCTGAGACATACAAAAACGTTGTGGCTACTTTGCAGCCGCCTAAGAGCAAGCTACTCTGCGCATGGCGAGCAAACATTCGGGAGTTCAAAACTCGCATACGGTTTTGTCTTATGCCAAGCATCTCACTTGAAAAAGCAAGTAAATAACTGCAGCTGCGGAGCCATAAATCCGCAGATCACTCGGGTCTGGGTAGCCACCGCCCGGGACACTAAGGCGATGACGAATACTCCCAGCAACTTTAGGGTAGTGAAAAGCCGACCATCCAGCAATCACAGCCAGAAGAATGCCGAAGACACGGTCCAAACGAACCATTTTTGAGTTGCATGTGCACCTGGAGACCTGTGAAGCTGACTCCCACTCGTAGGCGCTGGAACTTTGGCACTATGTCTTCTCGGCAGGTGCTTTAAGCTTACAAAGCTGTTCCCCGTTGTCAGCTAGGACAGCTGTCACCGGTGGAATTCCCCTTCAAAACAAGCCACGTAATGGCATTCGACGGTGTAAGCTGCTGAATGGATAGCCCACTCTGAGTCAACCCCGATAGTCTTGTTGGCTGCGTCTACTCAGAGTGACGCGCGCAATGCTAAAACGTACAGTACTGATGATGAAGTGCACTTCGCCGACAGAAATATTTACGGGTCCTCCGGTTCTCCCTGGCGTGGCCCAAGGGCACTTGAGCCGCAGTCGCACAAGCAAGGAGCATGGACACGCCAAGAGTAGCAAAGAATCCACAACTACAATGAATGAAATACTCAGGGCAGCTGTCAGGTACAGAGAACGTGGATCTGGACGGATTGGCCCCAGGCGCATGCTGACTCAGCCCCACACCACCATAGGCAGCCGTTGACAAACCATCTGCAGTATGGAATCAAACGTTGATGTGAATCCTCCCTGCGCTACTCACTTGATGATAAATTGTGCGCGATGGAACGCTTTGCGGGAACTCTGAGGCACCTGTATCCTTCCTCAACGGGCCAACAGGCCTCAATGTACACCACACACTGTTGGACAGTGGGTTGTGGCGATTGCTCGAACAAAATGTATGACTAATGACAATCCAGTTTGATGGATTTCAAAACAGTTTGTCTTTTCTTGAGAGGTTTGGGTGGGATATTGTGCCGAGGGATCTGGTGCAGCTTCAGGAATCAGTCTCATGGGTGCATCTCCATACGGAGTGATGGGCCCTCTGGAACGTTTGAGCGCGAAAGTCCCCAAATAAAGATACACATTTTAGGCAGTCTTTCTAGGTGACTGAAAGTGTCTGCGATTCGAATGTTGCTGAGTTCGCAACCGGAGTCCACGAATATTGCATTTGTTAAGTCGACGTGTGGCAGCGTCCAAGCGTGCTTAGCCAAAGACACGCTACGTGCCTCGCAAACTTTTGTCCAGCTTGCTCCAATATTATTGGAAGCTTGCTGATTGGCTGAGAATTCCTTCCTGTCAGAGGCCAACGCAATTCACCTCCTGGAATGGGCTTTTCTTCGCTTTAATAGCTTGATACCTGTAACTAATCGAGTGACATGCGGTGTTACTAGAAGTGTCCGGTTTAATGTCCATGTATGTTCCGCATGGTTCTGCAGCTGGTGCCGCTCAAAAGTCGCAACGTAAGCTCAAAAGAGAAGGAACAGTCGGAAGCCTGTAGGTCACCCCGGCCGAGCCTCTCTAGTTTGCTTGCCTCCACCCGTAATTCGTTAGCTGCATTTCTTCGCGATATGTAAGAACTAGTGGAGAAACATTTTGAGTGCCTTCTTTGGTGACGGCTAGGTTGCTGGCAGATCAAGTGCACAAGAAACGCATTATCTCTGAGAGAACGGGCACGGCATACTAGAGCAGCGGTTGCATTTAGTGACTTCAAAACACAGCCAAAAGCCTGTCATATATAGTCTCCCACAATTACCTGCACTCAATTCTTATTAGCAGCCTTGCAAAATGTCCAGTCACCATTGAAATACTTTGCTTTTCTTCCAAGGTAGGAGGGGAACATAATGCTTGGAATGTGAATTTCTGTGCGTAT